TTTTGTAGATCTTGTGTGGTCTTGTCATCCATGTTTTTGTAGATCTTGTGTGGTCTTGTCATCCATGTTTTTGTAGATCTTGTGTGGTCTTGTCATCCATGTTTTTGTCTCTATTTCACTACCTCAGAATTACAAAGTTCTGTCTGCACAGTACTTACTTTTGACCAATTTGACGTCTAAAATGTTTGAGTTTCACAACATGTCAAGCTTTTTCGAATGCAGTTCCTTGAATATCTTGATAACGGCTCCGAATAATCTTACGATTTTGATTGAGCAGATAGAACATTAATTTTGGTTTCTGACCTCATGGTCTTAGTAACTCAAAACTAAACAGCCAAAAATGTCAGATAAAACTTTGTAATTCTAAGGTAGCGATTTGTTGTTTGTTTTGTTTTGTTTTTGTTTCCTGTGATTGTAGTAGTTGCCAGAAACCACCGTCTGTTTACCACCAAGCTTTGCACTAAAACAGCTTCGAGTAACAACAGTATAACGATTATATAACCGCCAAGTAACAGCAGTATTACGATTATATAACCGTCAAGTAAGAGCAGTATTATACTACCCTATCCTATCTATATGCCCCTCATAAATATGAGTATTGTATTTCATATTGGAATGTACACCATTTCGTTCTGAATGCTTTGCCGCTGCTTAAGTCGAGAATCGATCACGTTAAGGAAGAAAAATAGGCGTCGGTTGTATTACAGAGCACACATAAGATTGACACATTTCGTTCTGTGTTAAATGGAAAATCGTGGTAAAATGTACGCATGTAGTAGGTCAGATATTGTTGTAAAGGAAACGTTATCATCATCCACATTATTTCTGGTCTCGTAAAGCTTTCTAACTGATGTTCGGAAAAATAAAGGTAAAACGGAAATAAATGGTTATGTGAAAACAGTTTCCACCGTTTAATTAGGGGGAAAAACCAAGGTATTAGGATACAATGTCAGCGTGGGGATCCTATTACAGCCTAAGAGATGTTTTTAAGAAGCCCGAGAAAATCCGATTTTGTCTTCTACTTGGCAGATCTGCAAGCACCTTGGAGACGACCAGTGTCTGTTGGCCTGGTGCTGTCGTACTCTTCAGTGCATTTGTGTCGAGGTGTGGGTGGAATCAGGCTCTCGTCAATTTTGGGTTGTGTGGAGTTATTGGTATCATCGTAAATGTTAAAGCCTGCATATTTGCATTGCTTTTGATGAATACAATACTTTAATTGATGTCGAGATATTGGTGATTGAAGGAGGTGGGGGTCGCCTGGGTGTCTGAGGTAAAATTAGCGAGAAAATGGCCGCCAAAGTTTAATGTCCTTGCAAACTGTAGATTTACATTTTTTGTGCCTTTGGTGGACATTTTTCAGTAAAATCCACACAGAAATATGTTTTTAAGAGACATAAAAGATGTTGTGTCCAAAAAGAGGAAATTCTCGTATAAAAATTACCCAGCAGGCGGAAAAAAGTATTTCGTCGGTTCAGTATTTTGACGAGCGCCTGATTTCACCACAATGACTCACATTTATATATTATATTAGGATGCTCTGGAAGTCATTGTGTCATAAGCTGTACTCGTCACGGGGAAATGCTACAAATATTACCACGCACGTGTGTGTTGTGTGGCGAGCAGCGCGGTAACTCCAGATGTGCTGCCTACGATTTTGAATGCTTCCCCAGGAGCCGAGAATATTTTTTTGGAATGTATATAGGGCTTGTCATGGTATTTACGGATGCAAACTTCATAAATGCTCTAACAAAGATATGAGCTATATATTCATAGTCTGTCATAAATTACAAAGGACATTGATAATTACATTCAGAGAAAAAGAAAGCAACCCGTCGCCTGACAATGAACAAATGGAGTTATTTCTATTTTTTCTCTCGAAATCAAACCACAAAACCGCCGGGATTTTTGTAGGCTTTCCTCTTATGGTGTCGGTTTAAAGTCTTCATGTAGGCTGTAAATAGATTCTGGTAGATGCACTTTTTAAATTAGGCAAGCTTAAGTGCGTCATATTTGCCCATGTGCGCTGTTTAACATTTTGCTTGTGTTTTGCTTTTTGGGACTTCATAACTTAGAGATACATAAAAGCCGTGCTTTAAATAGTTTGCATGCCGAAGTCTGCAATTGTGAAAGAGACAGTTTTGTTCCAGTCTACCAGTGGTTAGTCCTTGGTCTAGCGACGAATGATACTGTGGGCAAAGCGTGGAGAT